AAGCAAATGTTTGTAAGTATACGAATTTTGTTTGCAAAATGTTACAATAATTTTACTAATTTTTTTTTTGTTTTGCTTTTGCCTTAAAAAATAATTTTCTTACTTTTTTAACGTTAATTTACACTCACACGCTGTTTTTCTTTCCAAAATTTTACATAGAAGGCTAGCTTGCTTAATTAAATTAATGATTTTTTTTTTAATTTTTTGTTTTTATAATTAAATTAAATTTTTTTTCATTAAATTTCATGCTGTATTTTTTTTTCAATAAGTTTGCTCTATTTATAATATATGTATTTATAAATTTAATATACCGACATAATAATTAAAATTAATTAATTGTAATATTTTCAATAGTATATTAGCTTAATAAAAGATTTACATTTTTAAGCATTTTATTGCTTTATCGCTTTGAATAAATTAGTTAAACAACTTTTTGCTTGCATTAAAATTTTCATTTTATACACGCCTTTTCACGTGCACGTGCTTTGTTATTTAAAATTTATATTATAGCATCCTGTTTGCTTTTTAATTTTTTCTGTTTCTGTTTCTGTTTCTGCTTCGTTTTCAATTTACATTTCACTTTTTGCGTACACAAATTTTTCTCGCCCGCTTGCAATAAAAAAGCCAAATGTGTTGCAAGTATTATTTTTAGTTCCAACGCTATTGTTGTGTTTGCTTGTTGTTGCTTTTCTTTTCTTTTTTGAATTTCTTCTTTTTTTTACTTCAGCCAAAATTGCAATTTTTTTGAAATTTTTGAATTTTGAATTTTGAAATTTTGTTGCAGCAGCGCCAACGCTGTTCACTTGTTGTTGTTGTGTTCGCGTGCGCGCTGCTTTTTGTTCCCGTTATGCGAAAACCAGTACTAGAAAAATGTTTTCCAAAGGTGTGCCTAAACGAAAAATTTTGTTTCGAACCAAAAATAGTACAATGAAAATTGTGGCAACTGTTGGGTTGTAGCCAGACTTTCAATTTTTGAAAACTCACTTCAAAACTCGGTTTTGCTTTGATTTTCAGCCACCCAACAGTTTCGCAATTTTCTTTTTTGCTTTTGTTTTTGCATTTTGTTCTTTTACCTCTTCCATTGCATGTTTTTTGTAACATTTTACAAAAAGTTGTCCAGAACGTTTTTGAATGGTTTATTTTAACCTGTTTTCCTTCCACTACATATTTATCAATTTTCTATTTTGTTTTCTCGGGTTATTGTTTTTGCTATTTAGCTCAACTGTTTATTTACTTATTTGTTTGTATTTTGCGCTAATCAAATTCTTTCACTTCTTGCTTGTTATATATGTATATATTATTTATGCGTATACTATATAAAAAATTTAACTACTTCTTTTAAAGTTTATTTATTATTATTTTTACTTATAGGCACCCAATTTACCAATCCATTAATAGAAAATTAAAAATATTTTTATTTTTCATTTTTATAAAAACCTAACCTTCAACTGAGATGGTTGTTTTCTAACAAAACAAAAATAATATATATAATATTTTGAGAATTTTGCCTTCCGAAAGTGCTAAAAAAAAAAAATATTTAAAAAATATTTAAGTTCAAGTTTTTTGAGATTTTGCAAGCCAAAAGCGTTTTTTTTAAGGTTATGTGAAGGAAAATTAAAAGTGTGTGGTTAACCTGCGAGACTGTGACTTCAAGTGTGTGTCACTTGTGCGAAAGCGCTTTTGTTGGAAGTAGCACGAAATACAAAAAAAAAATCGCATGATTTTGAAAATTGAAAATTTTTTCCAGCAAAAGTTGCCTATTGGAGAATTGTAGGAGCTATGCTGATAATACCACATCCCTTAAACTTATACGCAGATTTACACACTCGACGATCACCTGAAGTCCGCCGCATCGGCTATCCAAACCTGTTGGATTAATATTATTTTACGCTATTTTTTTTTAACATCAGTTTTTTTTTCTAATAAGGTTTATGTTCAACATTGTTTTTGTATCAATTAATTTTTTCATAAAATATTGCAGGTACATGCGGTTGCTATGGGTCACAGCAGCTGTAAGTGGCTGTAAAAATGTTTGTAGCATGTCTATATATAAGCAAAAAGTGCTGGCTGAGCGCAGCTCTTAGAAAAGCATAACACTAGCAGCAAGCCAGTTTGAGCAAACATTAGCGCATGCGCAAACATTTTCAGCGCGTCACACACACCTGCTGCGACATTTATGTATATGTATGTATGTGTGTATGTAGGTTTGTATTTGAGCACAGTTATAGTTATATAAATGACTTCGTCAAATCGTCTCATTACTAAGCTATTGCGTGGAGTAGTCGCTTGTTTTTTTTGTATTTCTTTTAAATATTTTGCGCTATTTATTTTTTTCTATTTGTGCTTTGCGGTTTTGTATTGAGAAATATTCAATGTTGCTTCTTGTTTAATGACACTTGTGGCGTGGGAAGTAAGTATGTACGTATGTAACAAATTTTACTCATTTTCAATTTTTAATAAAAATAAAAATGAAAACTATAAAGCAAAGCTGCTGGTTATTACACATATACATAGTTTAATTGTAAATAAATTGTTTACACATACATACATACTCGTATGTATGTGTGCGCATTTCAAAAGCACTTCTTTGAGTCACATAAAAAAAAAATTTTTATCAATTTTTTTTTTTTATAATTTTTCTCTTATACATCTTTATAAGAAATACTACTTTATTAATTATTTGCAATGGCATCACTTTTGGAAATTCACACACTAAAAATTCTTCTCTTTTTTAGTTGAAAAAAAATGCTCTTTGTTTTCGTCCACCAAGCACCGCCACTTGTAGTAAGTGTTTTGGTGGGGAAAATTTGTTGAACTTGTACTATTTGGCTTTGCAATATTAGGACTCTTGTGTTTTTGTTTTTGTATTCATATTCCCTATTTCAAGTTATTGTTTTGTTTTTATTTTTTATTGTTTGTTTGCTAACTTATTTTAACTTCTATTGCCTTCAATGGGTTTCTGTTGCGTTCTTACTTTGTAAAAAANAGTTCAGCGTCATGCAATATTAATTTTTTGAGGTTATGTTAAAAATATTTTCTACGCTGAAAAACTAATTAAAAAATATATATACACATTGGTATATATGTATAATCACTGCTGCTATATATCAACACCAATCAAAAACGTTCAAACTTCTACATTCATTTATGCGCAAAATTTTTTGTTTTTTCTTTTGTTATTATTTTTTAAATAACATGCTGTATTATTTCGAGCTTTCAATTTGTCTGTGCTTTGACCTGTTTATTATTGTAAACAACTCAGTAAATATTTTAATACTTTTGAAGTTACTGTTGTGTTTAATTCGGTGTGAATGGTTGTTTTTGTATATGTATGTGAGTATATATATTTTTGCAAGCATGCAAATTTCAAAAATAAAAAAATATATAAAAAAAAAATAAAAAAAAATAAAAAAAAATAAAAATAAAAAATAATAATATAAAAATAAAATAATAAAAGAATACTTAAAATAATACAAAAAATAATATTAAAAATAATCATAATTTTAATAATAAAATAATAAAATTTTGATGAATTTCAATTTAATTTCAATTTAATTCTGAAATCACTGTAATTCAGAAATCACAAAATGTAATTAGCAAGTATTTTAATAATTAAAAAAAAAAATAATTTATAAATAAAATTAATTAAGAAAATTCCAAAATATAGAAATAAATTCGAAACTCACTAGAATCACTTGAAAATTTGGCAGTTTAAGAATATTTAACTATTGAAAAAATTATATAATTTAAAAAAAAATTAAATCATTAAAAAACATAATCAAAAATAATATTATTACAAAAATGTATATACTAGGAAACATTAAATTATAAATAAAAAGAAATCATAAAAAAAAAATTATGGTTGAAAAAAATAAAATTATTTAAAAAATATGAAATAATTTAATAAAAATAAAATTATTCAAAGCCATAACTTATTTAAAAAAAAATGAAATTGTTAGAAAAAAGTTATTAAAAAAATTACATTATTAAAAAAAATTAAATTATTAAAATAAATAAAATTTTTAGAATAAACAAAATTAAAAAAAAAATAAATTTTTATAAAAAATCAAAAAATGAAATTAAAAAAATTAAGTATTTAAAAATAATTTATAAAAATTATTGTTTAACTATTAAAATAAATAAAAAAAATTTAGTATTTAAAAAATTATTTAAAAAATAATAAAAAAAATTATTGTTTAATTATTTAAAAAAAATTATTGTTTAATTATTAAAAAAATTACATTCAAAAAAATTAAATTACAAAAACAGTGATCGCATAAAGTAATTCAGTAATTCAGTAATGTATTGCATGCTTGCAAAAAACTATACTCCAAGCTATTTTGATTTTTATACCTCATAATACACTATTTAACTGTATTTAATTAAGTAGCACCCTGAAAACAATTTTACAGTCGAATATTGTTTATGTAATTATGAAATAATTTACTGTTTGTTACTCATTGCATTCATTTTTACCGGCTATTTTGCTTTCCCTTGCACTAATTAACAAATAAATTCAATTGTTGTTGTATTTATTGCATGTATAGCTTCTTTCGGTGAACATAAATTCAATTGCAAGATTCAGCGTAGGCGTTAGTAAAAGTTTGACGGATTTGTTATACATTAAAAATATTTTCTCTTTTACAAATTCAACAAAAACGAAAAAAAAAATTAAATTCTTGCTTTCATGCTTCTTCAGTGTGCTTGCTTGCGTTAGATGACAAAAAAAAAAAAAATTACTGGCTTTTCATCACTTGCTTGCAATGAAGCAAGACTTCAGGTTAATTCCTTGCATTACTTCGGCTTCACTTGTATTCTTTTTGTGTTTTCTTGCATTTTGCATTAAAATGTAAATTTAAATTAACTCACAGCAGCTTGTAGTGTGTCCAGTGTGAACACACACAAACTTCCAACATCAGCATAATTAATTCGTTAAAATAATTAATTATTAATTCATTATAATTATTGTTTTTGCATATTTACTTTTTGTTTTTCTTCTACTCTTTTTTAAGCATAAACTTGTTTTTTTTTTGTTTGTTTGTAACTAATATACATACATAATCCGAGCGCAACAGCGGTTGCAACAGTAGTCTCTGTTTTTCTTCCTCTTCTTCTACTCTTTTTCTTGTATGCGAGCAACAAAAACTTTGCCTCAATGCAAAAGCTTCGTGCTCGCCGTTTTAGTGCGCGTAAACGAAAATCTTCAATTCTTCTTCATACTCTCTCTCCAACTATATTCTGGCATTGTCTCTTTTTCGTAACAACAACAACATTTATTCAGCAGCATTTGTTGTTGTTGTTGACGTTGGTTTAGCATTGGCGTTGGCATTTTCAGCGTGTTCAGTTTCTTTTTCTATTGTTGTTTTTGTTGTTTGAGTTGTGGTTACCTGCGTTTCAGCCGCGCCAGCGTCCGCAGCAGCTTCGGACTTAATGCTGAGCACGACATCCTTTTCAGCTTCGTCGGCTTCCATTTGTACCGGTGGGTTTTGTTTAGCCTCATTGGAAGCTGAAATTGTAACAGCTAGCGTGGCTGTTGTTGTTGTTGTGGTTGATATTGTATCAGCAACATTTTCTTTAGCAACAGCGTCGGCGGTTGTGGTTTCCTTTACACTACCAGCATTCTTTGGCGTCACTACAGTTGCCACCAAAGCGCCTGTGGTGGTTGGCAACTCATCCGTATCGGTTTCGATTTCGCTAGTTGTATCCAAACGCTCCACAGTCGTGTCAGCCAACTCACCAGTCGATGAGTCGATAGTACTAATTGTGTTGTTGTGCCGTTCGCTGGTGGTAGCATTGTTGGTGCTTGTGGTGGAGTTATCGGTGGCAGTGGTGGTGGCGCAACTGCTACCAGTGGTATCCATAAATGAGGTATCGCCCTCAGTTGTACTTTCCACAGTTGTCGACATTTCTTGTCTCTCACGTTTAGCCCCTGGCTCCTCCGACTCCTCCGTCGCTGCTACCGCGTCCTCGTGTTGCTCCACAACTGCGCTACTTTCGCTAGCGCTACGTCCGCGCGCTGTGCTATGACGTCGTCGCTCTTGACGCTGCTTACGTTGCTGATGTTGCTGCTGTTTTCTCTGCTCCAACTCGATTTGCTGCTGTACGAGTTGTTGCTGTTGCTGTTGTTTGCGTTCCTCAGCCGCACGTGTTGATGTGCTGGCTATAACGCCGACGGCAGTGCCGCTGCCGTGCGCTGCGTCGCCAATATTGCCACTGCTGCTGTTGTTGTGGTTGCTGCCGCCGCCAGCGACGTCGACGACACTACCGGTGCTAGCGCTGCCAACACTGCTAGCTGCCGCATCGCGTCGTTGCATGCACTTTTCCAATGCCATTTTCAATGATTTTCGTTTACGTTGTTTTGCTGCTGCCTTCTGCGCACTCATGACTACTGCTGCTGCCGCTGTTGCGGCCGCATCCTATTGCGAGTGATTCGCGGTCGCCGCCGCAGCCGCAGCGACGACTGAAGCGGGCACGATGCCGCTGCTGGCCGCGCTTAAGCCGATCTCCTGTTTGTGTTCGCGTGCAATGTGTCGGCGCACGGTGTTGTTGCGGGTGAAGGTGCGCGAACAGAAGGGACAATGTACGCGAATGCCCTGATGACGTTGGCGGATGTGTGCACGTAGATTTGTTTCATAGCCATAGAGGCGATCACAATACAGGCACTTCAGCTTCTTACCTAAATTGTGTTTGGGGGGGAAAGAGAGGGAAGATTAGTTGAATTGTCAGAAGAGAGAAATTTAGAAAACGCGTAAAAGTATGCTATATAAATTCGAAGTCAATGCAAATAGTTTTCTTTGATGCAATTAAGGTGTTAGTTTTACACTATTTATTATTGTGTTAGTTGTTTTTTAAAAGAAAAGTCTCTAGTTGTTTATTACCGTCCGCTGTATTGACCATGCCACTGTTTTTATTATTTAATTTCGTCGCATTCCAAACATTCAACATATCCTCTGGCGCTATGGAGGTTGCCAAATTGCTCGACAAACCAGCTTCGACATTTTTTAGATTTTCCAAAAGTGCGGATGGTGTTGTGGACGAAGCGTTCGAGGTAGGTGGCTGTGGCGGTGGCGGCGAATAGTTGGAATTCTCCAATTTCACTCGCAGATCTTCGGCTCCATTCTGTTATGTAAAAGTAAATAAAGCACTCATTAAACCTTCATTCAAATTATAAATTTCAAGTCAGACGCACATCAATCGATTCGTCGTGCTCGCTTTGATCGTCATCGTTAGCCTCGTGTGTGCTGCCATTGTTTCGTTCCGTTTTCACTGTACGCTCTAGACTGCCCGATAAATTGCTCGGCACATTACCATTACCAGCTGTGGCGACAGGACTGTGATTCTCATAACGGCTGCAAATAGAAGTGTAAAAAAAACATTAAACTCTCAGCTTTTCACGTATCCACAATATCTAATTTCTTCTTTACACTTTGCTTGCATTTTCACTTTTCTATTGACACTTCGCCATCTACTCACCTCGGTGATGTTCGCTCCGATTGCATTGTGTCCGCCTCGGTTGGTGCATTCGACGATGCACTCGACGATGGCCGATGGTAGGGCGGTTTGCTAATAGGGCTCGCACATTCCGAAGAGGAATTCTTCGAGCCGTCACGTAACACACTACCGCGCACCTCGTGCTCGGCATATGGACTGCGAAGCACACGTTTGCGTGGCGGTTCAAATGACATTGGACGATAGATGGGCGGTACGTAAGGTGGTATACCGGCGGCCAGCGCTGCAGCGGTACTACTTTGCATCAGTGAATCGCATTCTTGTTTCAGATTACCACTCGAACTGCTTAGATGGTGTGCAACGCCTGCGCCGCTACCCATACCACCTGGACCGGCACCACTGGCACCAGCACCTGCACCGCCGGCTGTAGCATTACAATGTGCACCACCAGGACCGCTGATAATGTTACTACCGGAACAACCGTTACCACTGGCACCGCTACCATTACCACTGTTACTAATGCGTTCCGCATTGACAGCCATTGCGGCAGCCATACTGCTACCGATAATGGCACCGCTAGGTATACCACCGCCTATACTGCTAAGCGGATTACCGCCGACAGCACTACCAAGACCGCCGGCACCGCTTAGGCTGTTGCGCATGCTGCGTCGGCCGGTGGGCGAGTCGAGTGGCGATGTATCGATGTGTTGTTGTGCTTGTTGGGCAGCCAAACGGCCAGTTTCTGTAGACAGTCCTTTCACCTGTAATCGTGGAAATTTGTATGAGTTTTATTCTCGTTAAAAAACAAATCATTTCTTGCTTACCTGCAGATTCTCCGCAGATTTGAGGAAACTGTTTAGAGCCTCTTGCGACACATGCACTTCACCTTTGTACATAAATTCGAGCAGTGCGGCCATATTGTCGGAGGACGTGGCCTCCAATATGACAACGCATTGACCATTTGTGGGTGTGCTTTCGAACAGTTCGGCGAACTTCTTCGAACATGCGGCTAATATTAATTTATGTGCTTTGAATACTCGACCTGAAATTATAAAAAAAGAAATTAGTTGGTGAATAATGCCTTAATAAATGTTCATTTCTATGAACTACTATAGCATATAGAATTTAAGAAAATTAAAAAAATATAGTAAAGTTGTCTGTATTTTCGACTACTTTTAGACATAGAATTGGAAAAAAATATTCAAAAATTTTCAAAAAGAAAAACTTAAGCAGCAGCTTAGTTTCGTTTCCCTCATTTTCCTAAGCTGGCCCTCACGCGCTCTCATTTTTTCTCTTCGCTTCTCTTTATCTTTCTTTTTTTTAGTGTAGTATCAATTTTAAGCTGCCGAATCGAAAGATTTTAAAGTCTTCATTTAGGCGCTTTATACATTTCTATTTTATTTTTATCGATTTACATAAGGAAAGTTCATGATTTTTTATCTGCTCTTAATTTATTGCCAACTTGTTGATATTTAAATACATATGTACCTATATATTTATGGTTGGCTATATAAACACATACAAAGCAATAAAATTTTGTAGCATACTTTTTGGGCATACCTACATACATATTTTTGGCATTCTATAGAGTTGCAGTCAAATGTGGAAAATCATAATAATTGTATATACTTGTATGTATATGCATACCGATTTATTTCTAAAATAGTATATATATGTATATGTATAACTGCATATATTTAGACATACACCTTTACTCTAAGAAGATTCGACTGAACTTCACGCCATCAGCGACCTCATTTTATGTCGTTTACAGTTCAATTGTACTTATGCATATAAATATATATATAATTATGTAGCAATTGAAAGTAAAAGGCGGTTAGCGGGCAGCCAACCCAACACAGCGTTGAACTAAAGACCTTGAACCCATAAAATCAAGACAAATGCCGACAGTTCGATGCAAGTAGATATGTACGTTCACTTCTAAAATATAAATTTGTATATATACATACCATACATACACACATGCATACATATATGTATTAAAATGTGTGTATATAATTGCACCCATATATCCTTGCATTTACATAAATATATATATGGGAATTAAAGTGGGCGTTAAATTGTAAGAAAATAGATACACACAAGCATATACCACAATATACTGTAGCATATTATATATATGTAACACAAACAGTATACAATATGCACATAAAACGAAATAAGGAACATAACAAGCGCATAACATACAAGTGGAAAGAAGACCAAGAAACCAAGCAAATGATTTCCTTGGTCTTGAAAAAGTCAAAAGCGAAGCAAAAGCAGATTCAAATAAAGAAAGCTGAAGCAACACAAAAAGACAAACTGTAGTTCATAGAGACTCTTGGCAGTGGGTGGCTGCTGATAATGTTGCCACCGATAAGCTAGACGCTTTTCTACGCATACGAAGCAATGGATGTAGACAAAAAAGTGATAACATTGAAACAGTCGCAGCTGCGACCAAGACAACAACGGCAGATACTCGCAATTACCGCCAAGATGTTGCTGCATACATATCTACACAAGTATATAGAAGTATTTGTAAAGAAAATTGCAAATACATATATACCTGTGTGTATATAAGCAAGAAGCTCCTATAACTGTATATGTTGCTACTCTTGCATAGAGATGTTAGTAAGACATTGCGAAGAAAAAGTGGGTATAATGTAGATAAACAAACCCATAGAGTAGGTACACATAAATTATGTGCAGGTATATAAAATAGGAAAACAAGAAAAAACTTTAACCTTCACAGGCGCATTTTTTATACCATAAAAGGGTATAAAAAAATATTTAGCTTGATTTTGATGTCAGTTTGTATGACAGCTATATGCTATAGTTGTGCGATCAGAACAATTTCTTCGGATATTGTACCGTTATCTTAGACAATAATCAATGCCAAATTTCGTGAAGATATCTTGTTAAATAAAAAAGTTTTCCATACTGCCATTTTATTCCGATCTTTCAGTTTGTATGGCAGCTATATGCTATAGTGGACCGATATCGCCGGCTCCGATAAATTGCGCAGCTTTTTTGGGAGAAAAGCACATGTGCAAAATTTAAGATCGATATCTCAAAAACTGAGGGACTAGGTTCACGTATATACAGACAGCCAAACAGACAGCACAATAAATATTTTAAATTTCTTTGCCGAGAACACATCTAAGTGCAGAAAGTTAGCTCACAGGTGCAACTGGCTATCAGTCACAAAAAAATTCGCAACTTAACAAAAGCAAATATATAATATTTCCTTTTTTTTCTTTTCGCTACCTTCTTCGTAAACTTCCACACTGTTGCCTTACTTTTGCGACGCACTGTAACAGTTGCCCATCTATACATACTCTATGACACATTATTTATCTGAACTTGATTTCTTTATGGGACACTTGTTGGCCAATGTGTCAGATAAATGAAGAAAAACGACAAACTGGAGAGTGGAGATTCGAGCCCATCCCACCCACGACTGCGGTACGTGACATCTTCTGCATTACACGGCAAAACTTCTTACTTAAGAGTAAAGATATTGACGTTGACGTTGATGTTGGTGACAACAGCCGCAACTAGCAAGAAAAGAAAAGGGGGTGCAGAAGTAAGCAAGAAGAAGAAAAGTATGCATACAAGTAGATGGAGTCAGTGCCAGACATGAAATGGCAAAAGTTATGCTTTCTCAAGGTGGGGTCGTATGATGTATGCGTTGTAAGGGTACATACATACATACGCATACACACACATTCACATTAACAGTTATGTATACTACAAAAATAACCAGCAATTTGTCTTCCTTGCTTGCCATTCAATTTTCTTTTACACTCTTTTGGGAAAATCGTCAACATTGAGCAGCTGTACAAATTTTCACTCGCCTCCTTGTGGTGCGTTAAGGGTGTGTGGCTGGTGAAAATGAATGTGACATGTTACATTTCGTGTTTCTTGAAACTGCTGCAATATTTATTATGGCAACGTTTCCATGTTTATATATGTAAAGAGAGAGTTCTTCGTTCGATCCAAATTGACCTACTTATTGTTGTTGCATATAATATGCGAAGACTATAATTTGCTAAGACATAGAAATACGCAAATGCGGGACGTAAAAATAATATAATTTTAGAACAAACAAAAATAAAACAAAGAAAAGAGAAATTAAAGAAAATTTAAATGAAAAGAATAAAAAGCAGGTGGTTCAAATGAATTTGAAAGTTGTAGTTTTTTTTCTGCAAAACTGGATATTAGCTGCCTAATAAAATTATTTTATAAATTAAAATTTAAATTAACAAATTTCTGGCATTAAAAGCGTGTGAAATATTTTCGATGTTTCAAAATTTTATTATAAAAATTGTGGTTTGAGTTAAATACATAAAAAATACTAGAAGGTGTAACCACGCCCATTTACAAATTTTATTTAAACCCTTACTTTCACTACTCTTCCTCCATACCAGTATATTTTTTAAAGAGAATAAAATAAAAACATTTTTGTTTATTTGAAGAGTAAGATGGCGTGCAAACACACAACAACAATTGCAAAACTATTAAATAAATAATATATACACAAAAAAATGAATCAACATGCCGAAGAGCACACATACATATGTAATAGTATACAGAACTATTATATATACAATACATATGTATGTATGTATTATTAGTGTATTGACTGCTAGCTAAAATATGTGCATAGTACATAATGCATGAGACAGGCAATACGGAAGTGAGTATTTAGCAACCGCAAATGTTATGCAAGCATTTCGCATGAACTCGACGTGAAGATAATTGCATAGATTGTAGAAATCTGAGTGAAGATACATTTAAATACTTTATATATATATATATATGTGTCTGATTTTTGTAAGATTTGCTTTGTTAAGAATGTTAGTTGCTTTAAATTGATTAATTATAGTTAAATTATTTTACCGAAACACAAACAAATATTAAAGAAACATTGTTTTTATTATACCTAGAAGCCATGTCAGTCTGTACGTCCTTCTGTATACACCCAAATTAGTCCTGATTCGAGAGCTATCGATATCGATCTAAAATTTGCAACGTCCTTTTTCTCAGGGGCTCCTCATTTGTGCAAACTGTCGATATCGGATCACTAAAGATATAGCTGCCATACAAACTGACCGATCAAAATTAATTCTTGTATGGAAAACTTTTTTGAAAGATATCTTCACGCAAATTTGGCACAGTTATTCCTAAGATAGTTGCAATCTCTGAACATATTGTGCGGATCGGACTGCAATACATATCGTTGTCTTACAAACTGACCGATCAAAATCAAGATACAAATATTTTATACTTCTTAATGCTATAAAAATGCATCTGTGAATGATAGAAAAGTTGGTACAGCCGAAGTTAACATATTTTTGTTTTATTTAATTTTTTATATATGTATTAATCATTTTATATTCAAAGGCAACTCTTTTCGTATATGCACTTCGCCAAATTTTTTCATAGAAAATACTTTTAGTTGTAATTGCATATGTTATTGTATTAGGGTGGAGCGAAAAAATTTTTGCTTAACCTGAGATACAAATTTCTAGATTATAAAAAGAAAATTTTGGACAAAAAATTTTTCAACATCTAGACAGACTCAGTTTTAAAGTAAATTTTCGAGTTAAATTTGTATTTCTTAACATTTTTAATAAGTGTCTAAAGCTGTGGAGAGTCCTCTTTCCGCCAATTAAAGTTATCAACTTAAAAATTGTTTGTGGTCATTATTGAAGTTTTAAAAAGTCTTAAACGAGAACATGCTTTCCTTAAGCGCTAAAATAAATTTTGATTCAAAACCCGTCACATTCGGTAATTTTATATAATATAGAGAGTTTAAACCAAAAATATTTTTTCTTGTCAAAAATTTTAACTCGAAATTTCTTTAAATGAGTTGAATTAAAACAAAAAAAAATTTTATCAAAAATCTACAGTTTTATCCTCAGCTAAGCAAAAAAAATTTTCTTTCCACCCTAATATGTATGTATGTAAGTATGTATATATCGTTAAAGTATATACATCTGTACCCTACATATATATTCTATATCGTCGTCTGTATTT